GGTTCACTGCAATCTCTGCCTCCCAGGTTCAAGCGATTTCCCTAAGTAGCTGGAATTAGAGGCCCGTGCCACCACGCCTGGTTAATTTTTCGTAATTTTTTTTTTTTTTTTTTGAGGCGGAGTCTTGCCCAGGCTGGAGTGCAGGGGCGTGATCTCAGCTCCCTGCAACCTCTGCCCCCGGGTTCAAGTGATTCTCCTTCCTCAGGCTCCAGAGTAGCTGGGATTACAGGCACCTGCCACTACACCCTGCTAATTTTTGTTTTAGTAGAGATGGGGTTTCACCATGGACCTGGTTAAGCTGGTCTCAAACTCCCTATAGACCTCACTCAGCCTATTTATTACAGGTGTGAGACGGTCATTTGTTAAATAAATAGGCTGATCTCACTCAGCTTATTTATTGCAGGTGTGAGCCAGTAATTTATTAAATAAATAGGCTGACCTCGCTCAGGGAGGGAGGGAACTAGAAAGAGAGAAGAATGCCGTAAATAGAGGGAGATGCAGAGAGAGGGGCACATGAGTGATGGAGGGAGTTTAGATGGGACTGTATTTCTACCACTAGGTATCTTTTGGAACTCACAGTTTTCAGAATAAAGCCCTCATTTTATGTTTAGCTAGTTCTGGAGACTTCAGGGAAGTCTCAGAGGGCAAGAGAAAAGGGAGTTGTGATGGCCCGTAGATAACCAGTCCACAGAGTCTAACAAAACATGTATGATCTCGTGTCATCCTCAAATAATCATGAGTTTTTAAGAAGCAATCATTATTATTCCCACTTGAAAAATAAAAACCAAGGCTTAGAGGAGTTAAGTAACTTTTCCTAAAACCACTCTGTTACTAAGGCTGGAGGTGGGCATGGGACTTGAAGTCAGCTCCATCCGACTCCACCATGCTGAACTGTCTTCAAGTGAAGGCCAATGGGTGTGATTTGTTTATTATTATGAATAAAATCTATTATTTTGAACAATAGATTTATTATTAATAAATATATTTTATTTATTAATAAATCTATTCATTCTGATTTATTGATTTATTATTATTTTTGAGACAGAATCTCACTCTGTCACCCAGGCTGGAGTGCAGTAGCACAATCTTGGTCATTGTAACCTCCACTCCCTGTGTTCAAGCAGGTCTCTTGCCTCAGCCTCCTGAGTAGCTGGGATTACAGGTGTGTGCCACCACCCTTGGCTAATTTTTGTATTTTTAGTAGAGACAGGGTTTTGCCACATTGCTCAGGCTGGTCTCGAACTCCTGGCATCTAAGTGACCCGCCCACCTAAGCCTCCCAAAGTGCTGGGATTGCAGGTGTGAGCCACCGTGCCTGACCTATTCATTCTTGCTCCCATACTCTCATACCAGGCTAGGGGAATTTGAAAGAATTCTACAAGCCAATCCTGAGTCATGGTGTTGATCCCAACTCCATGTGCTTGACAGAGACTGTGATTTGTGCTGCCCTCTAGAGGAAGTATGGAATGAGTAAAGGAACTGCCCAGAAGCTCCGGAACATAGAAGCTGGCTGTTCTAAGGTTCCAAGAGAAAGCAGCTGGGAGTAGCAGACCTCAAAATTCCACTGCCAACAAAAACAACTGGTATGGGCTGGCCATGCCAGAAGCAATGATCAAGATCCACTCTAGCAGTGCCAGTCACAGCCAGCACCAGAGAACAGGAGGTGTCTATGAGAATTGCTCAGAAGTCTTTATCCCGGCCGGGCGCGGTGGCTCAAGCCTGTAATCACAGCACTGTGGGAAGCCGAGGCGGGTGGATCATGAGGTCAAGAGATCGAGACCATCCTGGTCAACATGGTGAAACCCCCGTCTCTACTAAAAATACAAAAAATTAGCTGGGCATAGTGGCGCGTGCCTGTAATCCCAGCTACTCAGGAGGCTGGGGCAGGAGAATTGCCTGAACCCGGGAGGCGGAGGTTGCGGTGAGCCGAGATCGCGCCATTGCACTCCAGCCTGGGTAACAAGAGCGAAACTCCGTCTCAAAAAAAAAAAAAAAAAAAAAAAAAAAAAGTCTTTATCCCTCTCCAACCTACCAGTGAGTTATGGTCACCCTTGATATTTCAGATGGGGTTGTAGAACGGGGTGTAGTAGGGGCAGGAGAGGGGAGGGGAAGGTAGAGAACATCCTAAGAAGAGTAAAATAAATGGGAAGGGAGAGACGTTCAGCAACTCTAAGCAAAAGTCTAGACCTCAGATTCTTGACCAGGAGCAAACAGATCTCTGAAAGATTCTTGAGAAGGAGCAAACTGACTCTTGAAAGACAGTAACACATCAACATACAAACTTTTAGTCTGGAGGGATGGCCTCTTAGCCCTCTCCTTTTGTGTTTAAAGAAAGAGAAGTCCAATTAGCCTGGTGGGTGGTACATACCTGTAATCCCAGCTACTTGTGAGGTTGAGGCTGGAGAATCACTCGAAACCGGGAGGGGAAGTTGCAGTCAGCCAAGACCACGCCACCACACTACAGCCTGGGCAACAGGTGTGAGCCAGTAACTTATTAAATAGGCTGACCTCGCTCAGCCTGTTTATTGCAGGTGTGAGCCAGTAATTTGTTAAATAGGCTGACCTCGCTCAGCCTATTTATTCATTTATTGAAGAAGGTGTCTTGCTCTGTTTCCCAGGCTGGAGTTCGGTGGTGTGATCTCTGCTCACTGCAACCTTCGCCTATGGGTTCAAGCTATTCTCTTCCCTCAGCCTCCCAGGTAGCTGGGACTACAGGAGACCACCATGCCCCACTAATTTTTGTATTTTTAGTAGAGATGGAGTTTCACCATGTTGACCAGGCTGGTCTTGAACTCCTGACCTTGTGAGCTGCCTGCCTTGGCCTCCCAAAGTGGTGGGATTACAGGCGTGAGGCACCTCGCTGGGCCCCCAGATAACTCTGTCTCCCAATATTCAGACCCTTGTGTAATGCCTCCCACACTGATCTGGGATCAATGGCATGTCAACGAGCATGATACAAGCAGGGGCTTGTCCCCTTAGATCTCTCCCTTTTGGAGCTGCTGAGCCACCACCTGAAGTGCAGAGATCCACCTGCCCTCCTGGACCACATGGAGAGCCTCTTGGCTCACTCCTGGAAGCTCCAGTATTTCAGCCAAGCTATCGAGCATTTGAGTGAAGGTGTCTTGGATTTCCAGCCGGGGCCTCAGGTTAACTGCAGCCACATAAGGAACCAAAGAGAGACAGCAGAACAGCCAGCTGAACCCAGCCTAGATTGCAGTCAGAAACAATTAAGAGGGGCTGGGAGCGGTGGCTCATGCCTTTAATCCCAGCACTTTGGGAGCCTGAGGTGGACGGATAACTTGAGGTCAGGGGTTCAAGACCAGCCTGGCCAACATGCTGTAAACCCATCTCTACTAAAAAATGCAAAAATTAGAATTAGCCAGGCATGGTGGCAGGTGCCTGTAATCCCAGCTACTCGGGTGGCTGAGGCAGGAGAATCACTTGAACCCGGGAGGCAGAGGTTGCAGTGAGCTGAGATTGTGCTGTTGCGGTCTAGCCTGGGCAACTAAGCAAGACTCCGTCTCTGCCCCGCCCCGCCCCAAAAATTAAGAAGGTGTTGGTTTAAGCCTTAAGTTTTGGGGTGGAGACACTGGCCAGAGGACTGGAGTGTGCTAATAATACATACATTTGTGGTCCATGAAAGGTTCCTAGCTGCAGGGGCTATGATGGGTCTGAGGGCTTTCTGGGATGGGGGCTCCTTGGGTGATTATATTGCAGAGGCCAGAGCAAACGCTGTGGACCAAGTATGAGAATGGCATTTGGGTGTTTTTATTTTGTTTTGTTTTGTATATGTTTTTTGAGACAGTCTTGTTGCTCTGTTGCCCAGGCTGAAGTGCAGTGGCACAATCTCAGCTCACTGCAACTTCTGCCCCCCCGGTTCACGCGATGCTCATGCCTCAGCCTCCTGAGTAGCTGATATTACAGGTGCATACCACCATGCCTGGCTAATTTTTGTATTTTTAGTAGAGATGGGGTTTTGCCTGGTCTCGAACTCCTGACCTCAGGTGATCTGTCCGCCTCGGCCTCCCAAAGTGCTGGAATCATAAGCATGAGCCACCACACCTGGCTGAGAATGGGTTTTGTGGAGGTCTTAGTTTGGGTTTCTCCAAAAGTAGCCACCAAGGGAAGGATAGGAGGGAAAGTTCATTTGGACGGGATGGAGAACATTGGCAGGGGAGGAAGAGACACAGAGAAGGGAGAGCAGCCTACAGAGGGTATTGTATCAAAGCCTGAACCGCTGTGGGGAACTGCTGATTCATCCACTGGGGAACTCTGGGAGTCCACATAGGCCATGCACTTCCAAGTTAGCCCAACAGACAGGTGGGGGATCATCTCCTATCGGTAACGGGTTGAGGGTCGCTGGAGTCAGAAGAGGGCAAGAACTTCCTGCTTTTCAACACCTGCCACGCTCATATCCAGGGCAGAGCCGCACCAGTGTTCTGAGACTGCACAAAGGCTGGTCTCAAACTCCTAGACTCAAGTGATCCTCATGCCTTGGCCTCCCAAAACTCTTGCTTGTGTCACCAGGATGAGGGTGACGGGCTATGGACTTGGCACTCATGATGACTGCTACATCCTCCCCACTCTGGTACATTCATCCCAATATGACCCCTCAGTGGGCATCGCAGCCACTCCCCTGCACCAGTGCCCCCAGAGATCAGACGACAATATTTCTAGTCCAAATTGAGTTTAATTTTTTTTTTATTGTTTTGAGACAGTGTCTTGATCTGTTGCCCAGGCTGGAGTGCAGTGGTACAATCTCAGTTCACTGCAACCTCCGCCTCCTGGGTTCAAGCAATTCTCCTGCTCAGCCTCCCGAGTAGCTGGGACTGCAGGTGTACGCCACCATGTCTGGCTAATTTTTTTTTTTTTTTTTGTATTTTTGGTGGAGACAGGGTTTCACCATGTTGGCCAAGCTGGTCCCAAACTCGTGACCTCAAGTGATCTGCCCACCTCGGCCTCCCAGAGTGCTAGGATTACAGGCATGAGCCACTGTACTCAGCCCAAATTGAGTTTAATAAAGAGCTTGAGTGATGCTCAGATTAGGGAGGGAGTGACCAGGAATGCTGGGGTCTGGAACGGGGCCTAGCTGAATTCTGAATCAGAGAGCAGTGGGACCTGAGGGTCCCTCCTGCCTCAGGGTGAGGATCTGAAGGATGTGGGTCCCAGGGAGGGTGAGGAGGTCATCATAGGAGCCTTACTGAGATGGTATTGGGATGCCCCAAGCACCATGTAGGGGGATTACATCTGGGTTTCTGGGAACAAGAGCTGAGTTAGGGGAGAGAACTTGAAAGATCACAGTGGGGAAAGGACTAGGGGTGCAGGGTGTTTCACAGAAACAATCAAGGGGCCTCGATTTCACAGAAATCATTAAGAGGGCTCCTTGTGGGTGGAAGAGGGGTATCACAGCACCCCAAATGTTGGGGACTGTTCACCTTCCTGCAGCCATTCTGGGGTTTTAATGTAAGACCCTAATGGCAGGATATTCCACATACATTATCATGGATTTGCAACATTAGCATACGCTGGCTGTCCCGCAGGACGGTGGGGACTGGAAAATCAGTCCAGGGTCTGGGCTTGAGTCCTAAGAGGACAGGCCTGGCGGTGCCACACGGCTCCTCTTCAACAGCTGCCGGAGCTGTAGAGAAGGCAAGGCAGGGAGAGCAGTCTGTCAGGTTGGTGAGGAAGGAGAGGTGGGGAAGGCATGCCACACGGAGGGAGGGGCTAGAGAAGAGAGGTTGAGTGGGGCCCGCTGGATTTGAAAGTCAGAGGTCTGGAGTCGAGATTTTGGAAGAGCCAGGTGCAGTGGCTCACGCCTGTAATGCCAGCACTTTGGGAGGCTAAGGTGGGCAAATCACCTGAGGTCAGGAGTTCAAGACCAGCCTGGCCAACATGGTGAAACCCCATCTCTACTAAAAATACGAAAACTGGATGGGCATCATGGTACACAGCTGTAATCCCAGCTACTGGGGAGGCTGAGGCAGGAAAACAGCTTGAACCCTGGAGGTGGAGGTTGCAGTGAGCTGAGATTGCACCACTGTACTCCAGCCTAGGCAAAAGATCCTGAACCCAGGAGGTGGAGTGTGCAGATTCACTCAGTGAGCCAAGATTGACCCACTGCACTGCAGCCTGGGTGACAGAGATTTGGGAAGGAGGCTGGACGTGATGGTTCATGCCTGTGATCCCAACAATTTAGGAGGCCAAGATGGGAGGATCACTTGAGGCCAGGAGTTTGAGACCAGCCTGGGCAACATGGCAAGACCTCGTCTCTTAAAAATTAGCTGGGTGTGATGGTGCCTGCCTGTAGTACCAGCTACTGGGGAGGCTGAGGCAGGAGGATCCCTTGAGCCCAGGAGTTCAAGGCTGCAGTGAGCTGTGATCACACCACTGCACTCTAGCCTAGGCAGCAGAGCAAGACCCTGCCTCAAAAACAAAAAATAAAAATAACAGTCTAAGACCGGCATGGTGGCTCACACCTGTAATCCCAACACATTGGGAGGCCGAGGTGGGCGGATCATGAGGTCAGGAAATTGAGACCAGCCTGGCCAACATGGTGAAACGTCATCTCTCCTAAAAATACAAAAGTTGGCTGGGCATGGTGGCAACGCCTATAGTCCCAGCTAGTTGGGAGGCTGAGGCAGGAGAATCGCTTGAACCCAGGAGGCGGAGGTTACAGTGAGCTGAGAATCGTACCATGCACTCCAGCCTGGAAGCAGATCGAGACTCTGTCTCAAAAAAAAAAAAAAACTATAAATAAAAAAATAAAAATAAAGATGTGGGCCAGGCGCGGTGGCTCACGCCTGTAATCCCAGCACTTTGGGAGGCCGAGGCGGGTGGATCACAAGGTCAAGAGATCGAGACCATCCTGGTCAACATGGTGAAACCCCGTCTCTACTAAAAATACAAAACATTAGCTGGGCATGGTGGCACATGCCTGTAGTCCCAGCTACTCGGGAGGCTGAGGCAGGAGAATTGCCTGAACCCAGGAGGCGGGGGCTGCGGTGAGCCGAGATCGAGCCATTGCACTCCAGCCTGGGTAATGAGAGCGAAACTCCGTCTCAAAAAAAAAAAAAAAAAAAAAAAAAGATGTGGGAAGGAGGTCAAGGCCTGGGTCCACACGCCGAGAAAGGGTCAGGAAGCAGGGCTACAGTGAAGGGAAAGGGGCTGCCAGCTGGGGTTCCCACCTGGGGGCGAGGATTGAGGGGGAATTGAAGGGAACAGGTAAGAGGCCAAAAGTCACATCTGAGGTCAGGACCCAAGGCTAGGGGCAAGGAGTAGGAGGACACACTTGGGGATCAAAGGTCACACCTTGAGGTCAAGCGAGATTCAGGGTTGGGAGTACAGGTCACACTTTGAGGTAGGGGTTGGGGTAGAGATCACAGAAGTCACCATTTTGGGGTAAGGGATAAAACACTGAGGGCAGAGGTCACATTAGAAAGTCAGAGTTGTGTGAGGGTTGAAGTCACCTTCCATGATTAGAAGTCATTTTCTGAAGGTGAGCATTGGGTAGGGCAGGGAGGCCAATCCCGTTAGCTCAGAGGCCTCTCCCCAGGCAGGCTCAGGGCTTACTCACCCCCTCAGGGCCCGGCCCGGGCCGCAGCAGGTGAACAGGCTGCTCATTCTCCAGGTTGCGCAGTGTGGGGTCCGCCCCAGCTGCCAACAGGTGCCGCACAATGGCCTCCTGGGCTGGCCCAGGGGGAAGGGCAGCCGCCATGTGAAGGGCTGTGTTCCCATGGGCCTGGAACAGCAAGGGGAGGGCTGATGGGGATCCGGGCTCAGCTCGCCCAGGCCTCTACACTGCCCTTCAGTTCCTGCCTTGTCCACATCTCACACTTGTCCCTTCATATCGCAGACCTCCCTTGGCCACGGCCATGGTGCATGCATCCCTGTGTCCACGGCCTACACATTCTGGGGCAATCTACATCTGCTTCCTATACATTCCCCTGCAGATCCCACACATCATCCCCTTCACGTCCACAGCCCACAGGACCCATAACACCCCACTGCCCCCCCTCTGCCATATCCCACACAGCCTGCTCTTCCCAGCTCCGGCCCCCACCTTCATGTTGACAAAGGTCCGCAGGTCTCCCCGGGGCAACTCCAGCAGCAGCTGAACCAGAGTGGGGTTGGCAGCCTGCACGGCCAAGTGCAGAACTGTCTTGTTGCTCTTGATCTCCTTCGGGGAGGGGAATGCCAGAGGTCAGGCCCAGCCTCACACCCAGACACCCTCCCACAGAATCGAGGAGCTTTTAGAGACCCTGGACCTTGGCAGGGTGCGGTGGCTCGCGCCTGCAATCCCAGCACTTTGGGAGGCTGAAGAAGGAGGATCACTTGAGGCCAGGAGCTCAAGACCAGCCTGGACAACACAGCAAGACCTCATCTCTACAAAAAATAGAAAAATTAGCCAAGCATGGCGGTGCACATGTGTAGTGCCAGCTGCTTGGGAGGCTGAGGCAGGAGGATCATTTGAGCATAGGAGTTCAAGGCTGCAGTGGGCCATGACCATGCCACTGCACTCCAGCATGGGCGACAGAGTAACACGCTGTCTCAAAAAAAAAAAAAAAAAAAGTTGCTGGCCCTCCTCTGCAAGCCCCACCAAGAGTGCCTTATTCAGTTGTATGTGTTGTGCACTGCACAACACTACGTCTCAGGGTGTACCATTCACACCATACACCTCCCAGAACTGTACATTTCTTATGACAATTTCCCACCAAAGTGTCTGAGAAAGAGACTCCTTTTCTCCGGGTTAGCAACTGCCCTGGCTACCCACACCCATTCAACACATTAAACTGCATCCCGTCCCACAGAGACTGTACTTTATCTACAAGCACAGGAGCTGCCAACATTAATCTGTGGACTAGCTAATATTACAATGCTGCACCACAATATCGAGCTGTTCCCATCATATTTGGAGGAAAATAAAAGACATTTTGAAAATGAAACCTTTTTATGTGTCTGTAAGGAGTTTGTAATGATAATGAACATTAAACATTTTATGTGCTCATAACAGGAGAAAATCACCTAGTTTGCTCATCCAAAAAATGATGAAGACTAAACCAAATCTCTAGATTAAGAGTGATTTGAGGCCGGGCGTGGTGGCTCACGTCTGTAATCCCAGCACTTTGGGAGGCCGAGGCAGGTAGATCACAAGGTCAAGAGATCAAGACCATCCTGGCCAACATGGTGAATGAAACTCTGTCTCTATTAAAAATACAAAAATTAGCTGGGCATGGTGGGGCATGCCTGTAGTCCCAGCTGGTCAGGAGAGTGAGGCAGAAGAATCCCTCGAGCCTGGAAGGTGGAAGTTGCAGTGAGCCGAGATTGCGCCACTGCAGTCAAGCCTGGCCTGGTGACAGAGTGAGACTCCTTCTCAATTAAGAAAATAAATAAAAGTGATTTGAAACGATATAACATCATAATATGTGTGCTTATTTGGATCTTGATTTTTTTAATGAAAAAAATATTATTTTATAGCCAAAAACAAATTTGACTACAGCCAGGATATTGGGTATTACAATATAATCTTTAATTTTTTAAAGACAGAGTAATGATATTGAGGTTCAAAAAATTCTCTTTTTTTGGAAGGGTGAGGGGGCTCATGCTTGTAATCCCAGCACTTTGGGAGGCCGAGGTGGGTGGATCACTTGAAGTCAAGAGTTTGAGACCAGCCTGGCCAACATGGTGAAACCCTGTCTCTACGAAAAATACAAAAATTAGCCAGGCGTGGTGGCACGTGCCTGTAATCCCAGCTACTCAGGAGGCTGAGGCACAGGGATCGCCTGAACCTAGGAGGCAGAGGCTGCAGTGAGCCAAAATTGCACCACTGCACTCCAGCCTGGGCAACAGAATGAGATCCTGTCTCACTCTGCTGCCCAGGCTGGAGTGTAGTGGTCGGACCACAGCTCACTGCAGCCTCAACCTACAGGGCTCGAGTGATCCTCCCACCTTAGCCATCCAAAGCACTGGAATTACAGGAAAAGAGTTATCTCTTATTTTTATTATTATTATTGTTGTTGAGAGACAGGGTCTCACTCTGTTGCCCCGGCTTGGGTGCAGTGGCAAAATGATGGCTCACTGCAGCCTTGACCTCCCTGGATTCAGGTGATCCTCCCACCTCAGCCTCCTGAGCACCTGGGACCCACAGGCACGTGCCACCATGCCCAGCTAATTTTTGTACATTTTTTTGTAGAGATGGGGGGGTCTCCCTATGTTGCCCAGGCTGGTCTCGAACTCCTGGGCTTGAGCAATCTGCCCACCTAGGCCTCCCAAAGTGCTTGGATTACAGGCCTGAGCCACTGCACCCAACCATCTGTTATTATTTTTTTAAAATTTATTTGCTATTATTACTAAAAGTACAAAAGGTATCGGGTGTGATGGCATACAACTGTAGTCCCAGCTACTTGGGAGGCTTGGGCAGGAGAATCACTTGAACCCGGGAGGTTGCAGTGAGCTGAGATTGCACCACTGCACTCCAGCCTGTGTGAGAGAGCGAGACTCCATCTCAAAAAAAATTTTTATTTGTGCTTTTTTCAGAGAAATACTCCTTGATGTCTGAGTTCTCCCAGAACCCTACCACGCAGTTAATTCTTCTTCTTCATCATTTCTCGCTCAACTTAAATGTAATTTCCTCCAAACGACCTTCCTTGTGAGCCCCACACGCAATATAAAGCCAATCTTTTTATTGTCTAAGAGCTCCTATTCTTCCTAGGCAGCTCGCATCCCGGTTTGTAATTATGTTCAGTTCTTTATTTATCTTCTCCTCCCTTTTCCATTAAATTGTAAAGTCTAAAAGTACAGGAGCATGGTCTTTTCTTATTAAAACATTATAGGTAGCCGGGCAGAGCTGCTCACGCCTATAATCCCAGCACTTGGGAGGCCAAGGCAGGGGGATCACTTGGGTCCAGGAGTTTGAGGCCAGCCTGGGCAACACAGCGAGATCCCCTCTCTACAAAAAGTAGAAAACAAGGCCCAGCGCAGTGGCTCACGCCTGTAATCCCAGCACACTGGGAGGCCGTGGCGGGCGGATCACCTGAGGTCAAGAGCTCGAGACCAGCCTGGCCAACATGGTGAAACCCCATCTCCATGAAAAATACAAAAATTAGCTGGGTGTGGTGGTGCATGCCTGTAGTCCCAGCTACTCAGGAGGCTGAGGCAGGAGAATCGATTGAACCTGGGAGGTAGAGGTTGAAATGAGCCGAGATTGCGCCACTGTACTCCAGCCTGAGTGACAGAGTGAGATTCCGTCTGAATAAATAAATAAATGAATAAAGAAACGTTTTTTGTGGATGTTTAATTCTCTCAGCCAGCTTATGAAGGAGCTACTGTCACAGGAAAGGAACAGAACATAACTAAAAACTGGGTTCTAAAGTCAGACTGCCTAGGTTCTAATCCCCTCTCTGACACAAACTATAAGATTTTTTAGGCTGGTTGTAGTGGCTCACACCTGAAATCCCAGCATTTCCCGAGGCAGAGGTGGGAAGATCGCTTGAGCTCAGGAGTTTGAGACCAGCCTGGCCAACATAGTTAGACCCCACCTCTATAAAAAATTAGCCAGGCATGGGGGTGCATGCCTGTGATCACAGCTACTTTGGAGGCTGAGGTGGGAGGATCGCTTAAGCTCACAAGTTCAGGACTGCAGTAAGCTGTGATCATGCCACTGCATTCTAGCCTAAGCAACAGAGCAAGACCCTGTCTCAAAAAGATTTTTGTGGCCGGGTATGGTGGCTCACACCTGTAATCCCAGCACTTTGGGAGGCCGAGGCAGGCGGATAACCTGAGGCCGGGGGTTCGAGACCAGCCTGGCCAACATGGTGATACCCCATCTCTACTAAAAATACAAAATTAGCAGGGCATGATGGTACATGCCTATAATCCCAGCTACTCAGCAGGCTGAGGCAGGAGAATCGCTTGAACCTGGGAGGAAGAGGTTGCAGTGAGCCAAGATTGCACTCCAGCCTGGGCAACAAGAGGGAAACTCTGTCTCAAAAAAAAAAAAAAAAAAGATTTTTTATTTCCCATGCCTCAGTTTCCTTATCAGTAAAATAGAGAAAATAGAGTACACATGTCAAGCAAGGGGTGTTTGTGAGGTTTCAGTAAGCTGATGGATGAAACTCAGTGCTTGATGAATGAATAGTAAGTGCTTGATAACACACCCTAAGGTCAGTAATATCATTCCCAGTTAACAACTAGGGGCTGGGCGTGGTGGCTCACGCCTGTAATCCCAACACTCTGGGAGACCAAGCAGGGAGGATCATTTGAGGTAACGAGTTTGAGACCAGCCTGGCCAACACGATGAAACTCCATCTCTACTAAAAATAAAAATTAAAAAAAATTAGCCAGGCGTGGTGGCACACGCCTATAGTCCCAGCTAGTCAAGAGGCTAAGGCAGGAGAATCGCTTGAACCTGGAAGGCAGAGGCTGCCATGAGCCGAGATTGCACCACTTCACTCTAGCCTGGGCAACCGAGTGAGACCCTATCTAAAAAAAAAAAAAAAAAAAAAAAAAAAAAAAAAAAAAAAA